TCAAGACATGTCTACTTCAAATAAGTCCTGGTACATTTCTTTATCAGCATACATGCATGTATCAGTTTTGCTTTATTTCATGTTGCCGTAGCAAATTTAAGTTGCTCAAGGTCAAGACGTAATCCATATATTTAATTCGATTTGAATACTGTGTATATTCATAACGGTATATTTAATTCTTCTTGACACAAATTTTACAACTATATGAAATATTAATATCGCAAAAGTTTGTATTTTTTTTCTCCAAGGATTTTTTTTTTTCTGTAGAAACATGAAAATATTAAGCCAGCCTAATTAAATGTATATTACCTAGCAATAAATGTATCCATGTGTCATGAGATGAGTTGAAATAAAATGTATGTATGTAAATATTGTATTCAATGTCTTCAAATACCAAAAGTATGCTGGAAGCCATGGAGAGAGCTTATATAGGCAAAACCTGTTGCTCAATCCTTTTGTTTAATCAATAAAATATATATGAAATGAAAATACTTCGAACTGGAAATAGACAAAAAAGTTTTCAATTCATCAACAAATTAAACCTTACCAGTGTGTCTCGTTCGTTTCTCCAATACCTGGAACTGAGCTATAAATAGCGTTTGGTAAGTCCCATATACCATGGGCTGTATTTATTTTTAGCTTTGTTTCGAAGATACACCGAACTGTATCGATGAAGAGTTGTGTTTAATATTGTCAATTCCACCGTTTTCTATAAATAACAAATGCCACAAACTGTTTATACAATTGTTCATATGTGGTAATCGACAGGAACAGGGAAGCTAAAAATACCTCGATACAAATTTTGTTTTTTTAAATGACATATGGCAAAATAATTATTTATTGTATTGAATAGGACGAAACATACTCGATGTGTTATAAAAGCTAAAAACTTTTTTTTAAGAATGAAACTACAGTCTGGTATCAATGTAAGTTTTACTGATAAAACACCATCCACTCCATTGAAGTTATGATGATAAGAGGCCAGCTACACATATGTGAGTGGCCAGCTACTAAATTGATATCAGTAATGTTGATAAGAGGTCAGCTACTAAATTGATATCAGTTATGATGATAAGAGGCCAGCTACTATATTGATATCAGTTATGTTGATAAGAGGCCAGCTGCTATATTGATAAGGTATGCTGATAAGTGGCCACCTACTCGATGATTTAAGTTTAAGAGACAAGGAATAGTTTTCAAAGGCAAGTTTTTATGATAAAATAAACTAGTCTTGGATACCACCAGGAACTGATTAAACTGATGTAAATTTAACCCATTCACCCCTGGTTACCCCTGAATATGCATACAAGACTTAGTAATTCATAGATGTTGGAAAAGTCTAAATATAACTGTAGGGGTCAGTTGGTTTATGATGAATGAATACATATAAATACTACTACTACTATTATATTCGTACTTGTTTCATATATCCTTTCTTATTCTCTGATAAATAACGCACAGTGACAAGCCATCAACGAAGACAAGTTGTACAAGCTTCTACAAATAATCAACCTTGTAGGATACCTTGTTCATAAGACTAAGTACACGCATTATTTTAAAGTTACGCACAGTACACGATTTTTAATTAGGTTAGGATTAAGGTAGTGTGTTAAACTGTGTTAACCATTTTTCTCCACTTTTGTACTCTGAATTAATAAAGCAACGGATTTAAGACAAGCATATACTATATGTAGATATACGAAGGAGAAACATATATATATCGCTGTGTTTTACAAGTGTGTTTTTTTAAAATTAAGTTAAGAAGGGAACATGTAATGTTTTTCCAGTTACCTAAAAAGCACGGCTTGTATATACCATCGTTTTTCGGGTTCGACAACTGTTCGTGTTTCTTCCCAGAACTCATTTAAAATTTAAATACGTAGCTGTTTATGCATGAATGGATATATAATAAACATTTACTTAAGTAATATGCTGTGCTTGTGTAACTCACCTACAACGAATAGTCAATACAAGTCAATACAAGCGTTACAGTAAATGTCTGTGTATGCCGTGTAAGAACAAAATGTATATAACACAACGTTAACAAATAATGACAAAAGTAACTCAGATATTCCATATGCAATATATTTTACCGCACTGTAACAAATGTTGTTACCTTACCGACACACAGGTCAATTGTGTACTCCGTTATCATGAATTGTTTTATCGCTTTTTTTTTTGAATCTGTAGAGACACTGAACATAATAATAGATCGGAAACATATGGAATGTGGAAAAAAATAAAAAAAATAATTGATATAACCATACTTTCATCACATATCATCACACTTATAACAAATTTTCATCATATTAAATGTATGGCGTATTAATGGAACAAACTGTGTTTCGAGATTAACGTCATTTGATATACATTTAACAATCATTGTTACATATACACGTACTGCATAACACATGTTTCTTTTAAGCTTTACACGTTACAGATACTATACAACTAAATAATACATTTCTGTAAGACTAAATGTTCGTGGTTTTGGAAAGGTCAATATTTTGACCTAAATACGTTTGCTTTTTTTTTGCGAAACTCCTACATTGTAACTGTTTCTAAAGATAACCCTCCGTCAATCGGAACCTTATTGGTGTGTCTCGTTTGTTTCTCCTATACCTGGAACTGCAGCTATAAATAGCGTTCGGTCAGTCCACATATACCGTGAGCGGTATTTATTTATAGCATGGTTCGTATATACACTAAAATGTATCGATGAACAGTTTCACTTCGATTATTTAATTCACTCACATTGTTTGTTTTAATGTTCACCTTTCGCTCAAAGTAAAACACAAACAAATCGGATAACAATTACATTCATAATGACACACTAGTACAAATATGCGTTCGAAGTCTAAATTTATGACACACGAGTTCGAATAAGATCTATTAAGTAATCATACATATAGAAACCAAATGTTCTCTTAATAGGAGTGTGATGTTGTCGTAAATTCGGTGTGTGCCATTACACTCCGTCACAACATGTATTTGGGAACTGCTCTCAGGTCCAAAAATCTATAAGAATAGGCGGAGGAAAATTACTTACGTGTGTTCAGTATGGATTCAGGATGTAAAGTGACCACGCCAATATGTCACAGTGAGGCTGTCGCGTAGCTCGACGAGATCTCCTGTCGGCGCGGTCCACGGTTCGCGGGGGATAATTATCCCGACTTTCACCACAATGTATATATTCCTGGGACGACGAGGTGAAAACAATTAAGCATGAATTCTAATTTATGTTGAATATTCAACGATAATCCTTACAAACTCGTTTTATTAAAATTTGAAACACTAAGTAGACCATTGCAAGTTCATCAAGTATTAGTATTAGTATTATGATGATAAGAGGCCAGCTACTTTATTTATATTAGCTATGATGATAAGATGCCAGCTACTGTATTGTGTTAGCTATGATGATACATATATGTGAGAGTCAGCTACTTGTGTTAGCTATGATGATACATATATGTGAGAGGCAGCTACTATAATTATATTAGCTATGATGATAAGATGCTAGCTGCTGTATTGTGTTAGCTATAATGATAAGAGGCCAGCTACTATATTGTGTTGGATTTGATGATAAGAAGCCAGCTACTTTTATGTGTTAGCTATGATGATAAGAGGCCAGCTACTGTATTTC